ACAATTTGTTAAATACATAAAAAAATTAGAAACACAGTATTCATATGAAAGTATTCGTTTAGAAAGAATTTTACTTTCATGTAATTCAATGTTTACAATTATATGAACGCAGTTGTTTCGAGAGGACTTCTTTCAGCTTGTGTCTGAAGGTTATTTCTTTGCATGATCTACCACATCTACAGAATTTTTCAAATTGGATCCTCACCATTGGGATCTTGATGACTATGAGGGATACGAAGATGGTTAATTTGGAGCAAAGTTGCGTGTTTTCAGATTTGCTATCCAACGTTTCGTCTTCCGGCCAACATCATCAACTTTTTTTTTCTCATGGGCGCTACATTGGATTTTTTCTGTTTTGAATAGAACCAAATTTGAACTTTTCAATGATGTATCATAAGTTATATTTTTTTTTCGAAAAATTGGAGATATCGAGAAAAATTATTTCTTATCATAATAGGCTTTGACTTTGATGNATTAAAATGGTACACTAATTAACTGAATATGACCCTGATCGAAGAACAGAATTCTGCCTGCGAAATCATGACGAAAACCATTGCAAGATCCTACCTATCTCCGCAATATTTGTTTTGTTATTGGAGTGACACCAACCCTCACGTTTTCCAGGAAACACATACCCAATATCCAGAAAAAATTAACGTTTGGCCAGGAATATTGTGAAACCATATTGTAGGACCTCTATTTGTTGAATATATATATTGTATTCCAACAAGATGGAGCACCACCACATCACTCCAGTCAGGTAAGAAACTATTTGGATACTACTTTTCCTGGTCGTTGGATTGGCCGTCGAGGTCCTACAGAATGACCAGCTCGCTCGCCAGATTTACCACCTTTGGACTTTTTTAAGGGGCTATTTGAAGCAGAAGGTGTATGAAACTGAACCTGCTTCAATATTGGATATACGGTAGAGCATGATAAATATTTGTAGAGATATTGACGTTACTGTGTTCGAAAATGTTCGGCGTGAAATATCGGATAGGCAGTCAAGAGTTCAAGGCAACCATTTCGAGCATCTTCTGAACTGACCTCAAGCCTATCACCTCATATTATGTAGTTAAATGTCAATGTATCCAGGCAATTATTAAAAGTCCCACCATTTTGTAGTAGTTGAAGATATTGACATTATATTCTAGGGTTGTGAAGCATTTGTCAGGAGCTTCAAAAAGATGTGTCACAAGACCCCTCTTTCCATTTAATTTTTTTCCCAGATGGCGCCCAGTCGCCATCTTGAAAGTATCATCTGTAGTAGGAGAAATCTCCTACTATCTGTCAATATAACTTCAAAATAAAGTATTCATGCTTTAATTTAATTATCCCAAATTTCAATTTTTTGAGTTGACCCGTTTAAAAAATAAAAGGGGGGGACATTAAAGAAATGCACTGTATAATATTAGACAATGGAAATCCAAAATAATGAAATTCACTCACTCTTCATTTCGACCGGCATCTCAAAGCGCAAGACTCAAACAGTGGCCAAGGAATACAACAAAAATTTGTATCTTTCAACTTGCGTGTCATAGCTAGAGAGGTATTACTACAGGGTGGTGAATATATTCAAAAACAAAACGCGGACAGTTGATCTGGACAAAGGCCACCTATTTCATAAAGGTCTTATTTAGTATTGAACTGAATATTATATGTTTGGATAAATAAGATAAACGTGTCATATAAACTTGATTAAATTGTGATGAGTGATCAATCTATCACTCATCACGAGTCAAATATGTATTGACTAGATCGGTTCGAGTAACATTTTTACTTTCGCCCTACTTATGACCATTGACCAGGACTTTACTATAAATTCAACTTTAGCTATGGGCCTGCTTTGATGTACTGGCGTATAAAACAAAATTTATTTTTAGATTTCACATAGTGCTAGAAAATGTTTATTGCAGTTTATTCAACATCGAAATTACGGTTTACAAGGTCAAAAATAAAAAACACTGTTTTTCATGAAAAATGGAAGCGGTCCAGTTTCAAAAACAGTGACAAAAGATCGGTTGATAAGACTTTTTGACTCAAACGGAAATCAATTTCTATTTCGAAATATATAGTATATACATTTTGATACAGCAGTCCACAAAATGTCCAACGGTATATTTCTAGTTTCCTAGTCATTTATTCTCCAATCTAATCTATTTGAACTCCAAAACTTACATTTTGAATCTTCTCATCCAGCATTCTGAAAAAATCTCTTTGGCTATTGGATATTTCTCTGAAACAAATAATGATGTTATGAATGGACTGACCCGTTACTTGATGAAAATCAATAACACACTATCCATGATGATATTTACACAATTTTCACAGACTTTCGCTAAAACAGTAAGTATCCTCCTCGGTATCCTACTAGAATGGAATCCTATTAGAAATGAAGCTACTCTGTTAGCGAAACGCGTCTAGAAATTGAAATGTTTGTTAAAATTGTGTACACATTATCATGGATAGAGTAAAGATATAATTATTCAAAGAATAAAGCTATTTCCAATGTCAAAAATACCTTGTTCCAAAATTTATAAACTTTCATTCTAAAAAACAATGGAACAACAACGATCTAAACCCCTTTCCCACCTTTGTGTCACCTTTTGATTTCGCCTTCACTATACATATCAATTTTATCATTGTTGTTATTTTGAATATAGTGCAAATCAATCCATAAGAATTTTTAAATAAAAAGGAAATAAATATTTCAGTGAAATTTATTCTTGAGAAGAATGAAGAACAAGTCATCCGCTCCGCTGGAAACAAAAACAATTCGGGTCAAAATAACTCTGGTCACAATTGCTTTGGGATGCACTGTTTGGAACCTTTGGTGTAGTAATGAATATTACTGGAGTTTCATCCTAACACCAAACCATTATTTTTACACTTCGACATTTGTTTTGATCACCAAGTGATCATCTTCAGGAAGAAAATTAAACTCGAGAATGGTATATACAGGGCTATTCAAATTCGTTTCTGTACATGGGGATCTCGTTAACGATAAGAGGTAGATTATCGGTTAAAGTGTGGCAAAGTTGTTTATTTCTGAGACCTATTCAATGATGTAAAGGAATCGAATATAGCTCTTTTGGTTCTGGATATATACAGGAAAAACCAAAAAATCCCAAATTATATTTTGCCTATATCTTCTTTATTCGCAGTCATATTGAAAATATATCCACATTTTGCTATTGGCACTTGATGTGGACTATCAGAATACGTTCATGAATCTTTTATACAGGGTGTCATCTGACTTCGGCCACCTCCATCTTTGAATTTTTAAATAGGGACCTGTATTTTTTGTTGTAGTTTTTGAATCGTAGACGTTCACTTCATACTGAGAAATTAAATTCAATTTTATATTTCGGGATGTTTCGGTAATATTCGATTATAATTGTGTGAATTATTCCCTTTTGAACAACAATGCAGCAAATAAGTTTCTCACCACCCCACACATTAACAGACCATCTGTGTAATCAAGGGTTCTAAAAATATTAGGGGTGTCGTCACTATAGTAGTAAAAGTAAAAGTTGTCTGTTAACTAATCCGTTGTTATGCAAAGTTGACTCATCGGAAAAAAGCACATAATCAAAAAAAAATTCTTCATCACCAAACTTTTCTAAAACCCATAAACAAAAATTCAGTGGTCGATCATTATCTTCTTCAAAAAGCTGTTGATGTAGTTGAATGCGATACGGGTGGTATATGTAATTTTTAATTATTCTTTGGATACTCTGTCTGTTTATTCCAGTTATTTCACATATTTTAGTTGACTTGTGTGAAGGTGTTCAATTAGAGATAACATCACTAAATATTCATTTTCCTCATTTCCAGTAACCGGTTTTTGCTGTTCTTGCATATTATAAGATACACTGCCTGTTCTTCGGAAAATCTGCAACAATTTTTCCAATGAACCCTTGTTAGGATGACTCCTATTAGGATACCTTTGGACATATACTCTTGACGCTAATAAACAGTTTTCTTCACACTCATCAATTTGTTCTTCCTGGAGATAAGTTCTCATTCTACAATATTTCAAAATGACAATAATTTTAAACTAGTTGAAACAATTATAATGGTTTCATTAACAAGTTGTGTCACGTCAACAATATTATACAAGGATACACATTTTGACATATTCACATTTGATGTTACTTCCCCTATCGCACCCCCAGAGCATTTCACCATTTTTTTTTAATGGATCACCCTATATTGTTTCGCATTATCAGATGCTCCATCAAGAGCAGATTTCAATGAAGTATAAAACATATGGTCTGAAGCTCATGGTTCGGGAGCTACAAATTATTTGAATTGAAAACGAGCCACCCTGAATACAATGATTTGCAGGAAAAATAAAAAAACAACAATTAATATAGGTGACCACATTTTTATATATTCGTTCTAGAGACGAATATGGAAACAATAAATCAGAAAAAGAGATTTTTTATCAATTCTTGAATCAAAATATGATGACTGGACATTGACAAGAAAAAAATTTCTATGGTAAATGTTCAAAAACGTTTCCACCAACTTCCATACAATGATACAAACGAGCTTCCATTGCCGCCCTCACATGGTTGAGAATCTGAGTAATTTATCTGCAATGCCTCATGATATTCTCTCTCAAATCTTCTAATGTTGTTGAATCTATCTCATACACTTTAAACTTCAAATGACCCCATAGAAAGGAGTGAGATCGAAGACCTTGGAGGCCATTCTGTAGGACATCTTCTGCCTATTGCGCGACCTGGAAATTGTCGCACTGGAGCTGCAAGGTGCACCATCCTGCTGAAAAAATATTTCGTTTTCGAATAAATTTATATCCTCCTCAATTGCCCTATTGATGCATGGTATTATTCGATTCTCCAACATATCCAAATATTTATCATCAGTCAAATTATCATCGATAAAAAAAGGCCATATGATGTGGTCACCTAAAATTCCTACCCAAACATTCAGTTTTTGAGGTCCTTGGGTATGAACTTGACGGTATAAATAAGGACTCATATCACTACCTATCGACAAATCTGCCGATTCATCTCTCCATTCAAACTAAACGTACATTCATCCGAAAAACAAATTTTATACAAGAAATTCTGATGCAAGTTGATCCGTTCAGTGAGACTTTCACAAAAGTCTACGTCTATCGAAATCATCTTCGTTCAATTCATGAACTAGTCTAATCTTATATGGATGAAATGTGTACTTATTGAGGATCCTGAAAACTTTGTACGACTGATTCCTGATTCTCGAGATAACTTAGATTGCGAATTTTCCATTAGTCCAACGTGTCCTAAAACTGCAGTACAAATAGCTTCATCGTTGACAACTCCAGAACGATTTAGCTTTTTAATGTTAACAGATCCAGTTTCCATAAATGTGTTCAATAATTCCAAAACATATTTGTGTCGTACATTTCTCCTTGGATGATTATCATTGAACATACGGGCAGCAGATCTAGCACTATTTCCATTCTGGTAGTACAAACTCACTATTTCTGTTCTCGACGCGTGTACGCCATTGCTTCTCAAAAACAGAAACACCAATTGTAACTTCACCTGGTAGGTAATCATTATTGTAGAATGAGGCAAATAAAAAATGAAGATAATATCGAATTCAAACTCAACTGGTCAAAATAAGACTTCACAAAAACACCTATGAAACCAAGGTAACAGATTGTACAGAAGTTCATTCAAGGTGGCTCGTTTTCAACTCAAACAAATTTTAGCTTCCAAACTATGAGCTTCTAACCAGAATGTATTCTACTTTGAAATTTATTTATCATGGACCATCTGATAATGCAAAACAATTAATCCATTTGACAAAAAATAATGACATGCTCTGGGGTGCGATAGTGAAAGTTAAATCGAATGTGAATATATGTCAAAATGTGTCCCCCCGTATAAAATTTATTTTTTCTGAAAATCATTGTTCTAAAAGTTAATCAGGGTGGCTCATTTTGAATGAAATGAACAATGCACTTGCCAAGTGCCAGAAGCTCGGAATAAAAGGTGTAGTCGAAGTAACTAGTAATTTTTAAAGCTTTCGGCGAACTCAAAGGCCAAAAAAAACCAATACAAAGAAATAATGCCGCTACGAATTAGTCCACGTGAACTGAAGAACTGGCGGTTCGTATTGGATAATTTTTACTAACCAAGTTTTATGATTGGCTGAAGAGTCATAAAATTAAATTTGAAGTTATGTTACGGTGGCCAATAGAATGTAGTGATGAGTACCGCCGTTGTGTCGTCAATGTTCTGATCGCGATTTGAGTGTTGAAGTTCGATATTGGTGGAGTTATAATTACTTAAAATTTTTGTTATTTGTTTAAGACTTTTTCCTGTGTAGTGATTCCAATAGCGCTGGTGAACAACGCGAAAAAGAGATACCAGTGAATGAGATTCGGATGCATTTGAATATTGAAACACAGAGAGTATGTTTCAATGTATATCAGAATCTACATATCAAGTTTGGTTTTGAGGATAAAAACTATTACAAGCAACATCAGATTTGACCGAAATTCCTTTCTCAACTGTACGTAAAATAGTCAAAAACAAACCTTATGAAAGCAAGACGCGATGTGATGCAGGATTACCAAAATCTTTAGATGTTCATCTAATAAAATCATTGAAAAAAACAATATACGACTGTTACAAAAGCAATGAGATTCCTACAATTGAAATCATAAAGAAGAAATTGAATACTTCCGGCCATAACGTGAGCTGCTGTGACAAAACTCTTCAGAATTGGATAAAGAAACTAGGATTTAGATTTAACATAATAAACAAACGTCATAGTTGAATTGCGTAACAAATACTTAGAACAAATAACTAAATATAGACAAGAACAATGGCAAATTTTCTATTTAGACGAAACTTGGGTACGACACAGTTACGAAAGGGTGGACTGATGGTTCGAGAATGTGTATGCCTAACATGTCTGCAAACAAAGGAGCGAAACTAATCATTGTACATTGCGGAGGAAGTAAAAGATGGGTTCCGAATTCTTTGAAATTATGTGGAAAAAAACTTGAGGACTGCAATGTTGACTATCATAAGAACATGGAAGCTAATATTTTTGAGAAATGGTTTGAAAACACATTGATCCCAAATTTGGATGCGAATAGTGTAATAGTTCTTGACAACGCTTCCTATCATTCGCGACAGCTCATCGAAGTACCGAATAAAAATTCGAGGAAAGATGAAATACAAAGTTCTTTAATGTATATCAATTTTTATTTTGAATATAACTATACCAAAAACCAACTTCTTGAAGTTTTACAGACAAAAACATTTGAAAAAGTGTATGCCCTTGAGAGTATTGCTGAAAAGTATGGACCATATCGAGATTTCCCCCCTATTTTTGTGTTTTCAATCCAATCGTATCAGGCGTATCAGCTCCCTAACTATTTTATTAAATGGGAACTGCTGGACGGTAGGGTGCACTATATTGTTTACTTGCACTATACTTAGACGTAGAAGAAAAAGTCCCTGATGTAAAACTAAGCTTCAATGATACTAATTTTGAAATATATATTTTCTGTCTATTCATAATTTTATTTCTGATGGGTCACTTCATTAGTTTTCAATATTTATCAACCTCAATTTGTAAGAGATACCATTGAAAACGCTTTGTAAAGAGATCCTCTTAAATGTAAGGAAAATGATTTTGTTTACAAACACTTACGGTTGGGCTAGAAGAGGTCCACCCAGTGATTTGAACTTATTCGATTTATGCTGGTCGCAGTCTTCTATAACTTCAGATGTTTCTGCTTCCGTCTCCAAACCGTCTTCTTCCTCAGATTCTGTTTTATCTGCGGTAACTGTAAAAAAATACGTTCAACGGAGATTTTCAGGCTATCATCTTTTTGAATCATGTTCATGAAATGGCTAGTTATTTTTGAGCTCCTACTAAAGTTTGTATGTTTTACATTTATGATTGAAATTAATGCCAAATATCTGAGGCATTTAGGGTTCAGTAATTTTTTATGACAATGAGTCTTTTTCCTGAGTAAAGTACTGCAAACGTGTCACGAGAGACAGCACTGGTAGTAGGGACAAACAATAAACTATTCACATGTGTTATTCACGTAATATTAATTTATTACTAGAACATTTTCTTCTGTTAAAAACATTCTTTTTTAATTGTACTTTACCATATGTTTATATGAGGAATAGGCAGTGTTTGTCCCTACCGAACTACTAATACTGCTAGTGAGTGATTTTTCGTACTTCAGAAAAAAGGTTCATTGTTTATCGAAAATAAAATAGGGATGGATCAAAATTATTAGGTAAGTGAATCAATTATCGAAACAGCATGTGAATATTTTTACCAGAAATATTTTACCAAATATCCTATAAATTACAGTCATAACCGTCATACAATATACATGGGCTGTTAAAAAAATAATGTGAATGTACAATTACGCGCGCTACGTATATTCAATTAGAGCTTTTTAATTTTTTCATGTTGGTTCATTCGTTTCGAACATATTTTCACAGTTTCAGCAGTTTAGCATGTTTAGTTTATTGGTGAAACAATATGGAAATTGATTAATATACAGTGTGTAAAAGCCAAATAGAATAAATTCATTATTTCGGTTACTGTACATATTTTTTAAAAATCCCGAACCACGTCAAATGTAAATTATAATTTGACATTCTTCAACGTTGAAAAATTACAGGTACAACCCCTAATTTTTTAAATAGGAAGTATAGGTTTGTGATACATCGTTTGGAAGGTCTCTTCATTCTCTATTCAGAAATGTTATCGCTTTTAAGTTCATTGCAACAATTGAGAAAAAATAAATTATAATCATTTGATTACCGAAATTCGATAAAATACACCCAAAAACTAAAATGTAACGAGATACGTAATGAAATGTAGAATACGAAAAAGAGCTATAGATGTTAACGAAGTAGATGTTCAAAATGTTCACCGCGAACGTCTTGGCAACATCCTAATCTCAAATAAAACTGTCTTCTAACATTATTTAACATATCAAGCGTGACCGACCTAATCGCAAGCGTTATTCGTTCTCTGAAGTCATTCAAATCTGAAGGTTTAGTTTTCTACACGTTGCTCTTTACATATCCCCATGAAAATGAATCTAATGATGAAAGATCAGGTGATCGCGCTGGCCATTCAATCGATCCTCGCCTCCACATCCACCTATTGGGAAATGTATCGAGGTATTGCTAGACATTAACTTGGTAATGTGGTGGTGCTCCTTCCTGCTGAAACCATATCGTATTCACTGGAACTCGAGGGTTTCCTGAATCAGGATATAAATTTGGTAAACTTGGAATGGCATAATTTTGAAGTAGTGCCAAATAATTATCGCTATTCAAGTTGCCCTCAATGGAAAAGGGGCCAATGATATGGTTTCCTACAATCCCTGCCCAAACATTAACCTTTTGAGGCTATTGCGTGGGTTCTTCTCTCATCCAGTGAGGATTTTCCGTTGACCAGTTCCGGCAATTTTGGCGATTAGCATACCATTAAGAGACAAAGTACACCCATCAGAGAACATAACGTCTTCTAATTGAAATACTGACAACTAATGTTTTAAGATACAAAACAAGTTGACAAGGCGTTTTGAACTAACGTTGCCACGGAAATCATTTGCAGTTTTTTAAAGGATGCCATCTGAAAAGAACATTGCTATGGTTTTTGCTTACTTTTTTATTATCAGTACCTCAATATGAAATAATTTTTGAGTATATTGTAACTTAAAAGCGATAATATTTTTGAATAGAGAATGAAGAGACCTTTCAATCGATATATCACAAGCCTATATACTTCCCATTTAAAAAATTGGGGATTGTACCTGTCATTCGACGGGGGTTGAAGGTAGGGGTAGCATTCTTCCGTTGAAGTATGTCAAATTTTAATTTAAATTTGACGTGTTTCGGGATTTTGTTAAAATATGTACCGTAACCGAAATAATGTATAAATATTTTTGTAAGCAATAGAAATTCACCTTATTTTTTGAACAGAGTAGTATTATAGCGTTTAATCGGTAAGTTTAATGATTAGAAAAATAGTTGTTGTTTATTTAGGTGATTTTCATCCCGGTTGATTTGCCGTACTAGCCATATTAATAGTTTTCATTCAAGTATATGATTGAGATTGAGAACACACGTTTGATAAAGTTACAACGCTTTTGATATTTGCACAAGTGCTGTTGTATTACAACAATATGTTGAAATTATGATTGATTACATCGTCTTTCCTCCTTTATTCAATTTCGTTTATTATTGTTCAATTTAATTGCACTATTCGTTATTCTAACTGTTACAACCTTTAATTATTACGATTTTCGGAGGTTCGTTCACCTCAAAGTGAAACTCAACAATTCAACCAAAAATTTCGTGATTATAGAATGCCTCACCTGACTTCTTCGAACTGGACTTGTTTTTATTCTTCCTCGGGTATATATTGATTTTGCTGTGACCACAGCCCATCGCCAACAGAACTACAGGAATTTTGTAGTAAAGTTGCCTTTGTAAGGACAAGACAGCTTTCGGCGATTCTATCACATGTTCGCATGAATGAAAACCTTCAGCCAGTATCAGCAGTCTTGCCTGGTATAAGATGAAAATTCATCCTTGATGAAGCTGCCATCTGAAACAAAATCGATACGAGATTCAATTATCCTATTTTCAGCCTGACTTGGTTGCTTCTTGATGTAATTCAGTGCTACCACAGATTATGTGAGATGAAACTGGGGAAACGGGTAATTTCCAGAGAATCAATTTGAAACTTCTTAATCGTGTGAGGTAACGAGTTGTGTTTGACAAGTGAAATTTAAGAACAATCTTTCTAATAGAGTACAATTTGTTAAATACATAAAAAAATTAGAAACACAGTATTCATATGAAAGTATTCGTTTAGAAAGAATTTTACTTTCATGTAATTCAATGTTTATATGAACGTAGTTGTTTCGAAAGGACTTTTCTTTCAGCTTGTGTCTGAAGGTTATTTCTTTGAGAACACTTTAATTACAGTGAAAATTGAAGTGAAGTAAGTAATTTATATACACAAAAAAATTAATTGTGCAATAAATGTTCGAATTGAAGTCCTTCCATTTCGAAACAGAAGATGGTCTGGTCTGCAAGATCACCAGATCTCACTATTTTGGACTATTTTCTTTAGGGAACATGGAAAAATAGGATTTACGCTGGCAGAGAGATAGAAAATGTGGAAGACTCTAGATTGAGGATTTTGAATGATTTCGCAACAATGCAGCAAATAAGTTTCTCACCACCCCACACATTAACAGACCATCTGTGTAATCAAGGGTTCTAAAAATATTAGGGGTGTCGTCACTATAGTAGTAAAAGTTGTCTGTTAACTAATCCGTTGTTATGCAAAGTTGACTCATCGGAAAAAAGCACATAATCAAAAAAAAATTCTTCATCACCAAACTTTTCTAAAACCCATAAACAAAAATTCAGTGGTCGATCATAATCTTCTTCAAAAAGCTGTTGATGTAGTTGAATGCGATACGGGTGGTATTTGTAATTTTTAATTATTCTTTGGATACTCTGTCTGTTTATTCCAGTGTTTCACATATTTTTTGTTGACTTGTGTGAAGGTGTTCAATTAGAGATAACATCACTAAATATTCATTTTCCTCATTTCCAGTAACCGGTCTGTGCCGTTCTTGCATATTATAAGGTACACTGCCTGTTCTTCGGAAAAGCTGCAACACTTTTTCCAATGAACCCTTGTTAAGATGACTCCTATTAGAATACCTTTGGACATATACTGGTGACGCTAATAAACAGTTTTCTTTACACTCACCGATTACCAAAATCATATCAATTCGTTCTTCCTGGGGATAAGTTCTCATTTTACAATATTTCAAAATGACAGTAATTTTAAACTAGTTAAAACAATTATAATGGTTTGATTAACAAGTTATGTCACGTCAACAATATTATACAAGGAGACACATTTTGACATATTCACATTTGATGTTACTTCCCCTATCGCATCCCCAGACCATGTCACCAATTTTTTTTAATGGATCACCCTATATTGTTTCGCATTATCAGATGCTCCATGATGAGCAGATTTCAATGAAGTATAAAACATATGGTCGGAAGCTCATGGTTCGGAAGCTACAAATTATTTGAATTGAAAACGAGCCACCCTGAATACAATGATTTGCAGGAAAAATAAAAAAACAACAATTAATATAGGTGACCACATTTTTATATATTCGTTCTAGAGACGAATATGGAAACAATAAATCAGAAAAAGAGATTCTTTATCAATTCTTGAATCAAAATCTGATGACTGGACATTGAACAGAAAAAAATTTCTATAGTAAATGTTCATTGCCGCCCTCACATGGTTGAGAATCTGAGTAATTTCTCTGCAATGCCTCATGATATTCTCTCTCAAATCTTTTGATGTTGTTGAATCTATCTCATACACTATAGACTTCAAATGACCCCATAGAAAGGAGTGAGATCCGAACATCTTGGTGGCCATTCTGTAGGACCTCTTCTGCCTATCGCGCGACCTGGAAATTGTCGCACTGGAGCTGCATAATGACAAGGTGCACCATCCTGCTGAAAAAATATTTCGTTTTCGAATAAATTCATATCCTCCTCAATTGCCCTATTGATTGATGCACGGTATTATTCGATTGTCCAACATATCCAAATATTTATCATTAGTCAAATTTTTATCGATAAAAAAAGGTCATATGATGTGGTCACCTAAAATTCCTACCCAAACATTCAGTTTAAGAGGTCGTTGGGTATGAACTTGACGGGTATAATTCAACGCCCTTCGTGGTATTAGCCAGGGGCATAGATGTTTTCTGATAGGCGTCAGTCCATTAAACCTACTGTGTAGGTATATCGAGACTGGCTTGAACGTTTGAAATTCATTTGCTTTATATTTGTTTATTGCCAGTCTTCAAGCATAGCCCACTGACTAATAAGAAAGTTTTTCTTCCTTATGCAGAGGAATCGGGCAAATTATGGATGTGCAGTTGGTTAGTTCCTCGTCCACTAGATGGAGTGACATTTTTGATGTTCGCTCCAACTTCGGAAGAGGAATGAAATACTCTGAAAGAATTCCGATTTTCAATTGTGGAATATCATTGACTTTAGGTCGATGATGGTCACTATCTTGCACTGATGAGTGGCTAATAAGCCCGAAACCGGTCTGCAAGTGTGCCCGTTCCATAATTGAAGGTCGNGAGTTAATATTATTTCTAACATATTAGTAAAACCGGCAAACAAAGTCAACCCCGAACCAGAGGTGGACTTGGAAACAGTACATACTTCTGCCGAAAACCCTATATTGACAATACCAATAGTAGACCGATCTTTAAATACATATAAAAATCAGCTAGTTATGACAGTTGGAGACATAGACAAAACCAAAGTTAGACGAGAAAAAGTATTCGAAAATATCCGACTATACATCACTTTTCCAAAAGTCGAACTCGAAAATCAAATTAAAACTTTTGCAAGAGAATATTTGAACCCCAAACAGCATTATTCCCTGTACTTTAAAAACCCTCAACTTTCGAAAATATTTTCTGTAACTATCCAAAATACTTTTAAAAATTCCTCACTCAAATTATTGCACTGTACAAAATTTTTGACTGACGTAGAAACTTTGAAGGAACAAAAGCAAAAGCTAGAGTATTACCACATATACAAATCCGGTCATAGAGGAATGAACGAAGTGAAAATGTCATTAAGTCATATTATTGGCCGAATATGTCTTTAGATATAGAGAATTATATCAACAATTGTGAAACATGTCTAAAAAACAAATATAACAGGGATCCCCCTGCCATTAAGTTCAATTTGACTCCAACTGCATCCAAACCATTCGAACATATTCACATCATGGATTACCTCTAAAAATCACAAGTGATTGCGGTACGGAGTTTAAAAATCAATATTTAAAAAACTTCTGCTCTCTTCGCCGTATTCAACTTCATTTCACCACAGCGAAGAATAGCAACTCAAATTCCCCAGTAGAACGTTTTCATTCTACCTTAATTGAACATTTTCGTTGTTTAAGAAAAGAAAATAAAAACCTCATCCCAGACCAATTGGTAAAATACGCTATATTAAGCTATAATAATTCTATACATAGTGTAACCAAATTCACTCCATTTGAAGTTATCAACGGACATATTGACGATTCTAACCCTTTCGATATGAACGATAACGTTATTATATCAAACTATGTTCAAAATCACAAAGAAGTTAGCAAAAATATGTACGAAAATATACAAAGAGAAAATCAAACGACTAAAGAAAAAGTAATAACTAGAGCAAATGAAAAAAGGTCAAACGCCCCACATCAATATACGGGTCGAAAAACAGTTTATATAAAAACTAAACCCCGAAACAAAAATTTACCAAAATTCAAAAAGGTTACTCTCGATCAGGAAACTGATGAAAAATCAATCACACAATCCGGAACATATCATAAAAGTTCTGCTAGAAAACCCAGAAATATTAAAGAACAAACATTGTTACAGGAAAATCAAGAGGATGAAGTTTCTTCTCCTTTGCCTGGTCGTTCAACTATCATATTGTAAGGATGACATAGACGTTACCAACCTAGATGATCTCATCCTCCCAATACAACTAGGAAACGCTAGACTCATATACACTAAACATACCTTTCTGCATTATTTGAACCTTAAAATCATTATCGATCAGATACAAAATTTAAATAAAAATTTTAAATAAGTCGAAAATAGTATTTCCAAAGTTAATGTAACGAACCCAATATCTTATCACGGATTATCAGAGAATATGCTGTTCAGAACTAAATATCTCATTAGCACTTTACAGAGAAAAATCGACAATATATTACCAAAAAATACCTGAGAACGTTTTTCCAAATGAATTAATTCTCCAGCGATTCAAATCCAACATGAGTTGCTACTTTCGCACAGGCACCGATCTTAGAGCGCCTCAAGGATTTTTCTGTAGTGCTTCTGTTTTGTCTTTGAAAAAAAAATTTTACAGTCTGTGAAACGGAAATCCACAGATTAATTGTCCAAAAGAAAACAAGGGATATTAACTCGTTTGCGAATCGGAAATACATGGCACATCGATAGTTTTAGGCTTGATATAGAACAACAACCTAATTGCAGAAAAGTGTGGAACATTTAGTGAATTCTGAAGAACTAGTTTTGTACTGTAGCAAATATTAAATGTGTCACACGTTATAAAACTATGTGCGAGCTAAGGACTAACGGGATCTTACCTTTCAACGTGTGATTCATAAATCAAGCAGAAATGTGTGCACCAATCAAGCTTGAGGAAGCTATTGTTAAGGCAGAAATTTGTGCACAAATGGAGTAAAATTTAGTCAGCATGAAAACGCAACTATATAGCGAAACACGGATTGCGCTTATTAAAATGGTCCAGCGAGAATCTCACAATAAAGTGTTACTTGAATAAGTTATGGACATACTTGTTGATATTTCGACATATGCATCATAATTTCTTTGGTATATTTCACCCTCGCCAATAGCTTTGTATACATCCATCCATAC